CAAACTATACAATCCGACAGGCAACTTCCATTTATGATTTTAAGGCAGCTTTAAAAACTCACCTTTTTAACTTGTATTTTTCTTAATTTTTTCCCCCGAATTTTATTTTTACTGTTAAGCGCATTGAGGCTTTAGCATAATGCGCTATATAAGCCAAAATTATCATTATTATTATTATTATAATTTCCTTCTCCCTCCCTTTTTTTGTAACTGGAACAAATTTAGGTGGATGGCATAGCTTGGGGCCCCGCCCCTCCCCTTCTTTGAATTCACCACTGAACAAAAGAAAACATCAAACAAGGAAGTTATTTTTTGCATGTCTATTGCACCACTTGCATAAAAAGAATAAACAAAACATGTATACTGCCCCCTGTAGTTTGTGTAATGGTTGTAGCGTATAATACATCTTAATATACAGTACAGCTAAGCATCTACTTTAGCCCATATAACTAGTGCACACAATTATTAGAAAACCTGGTGATTTGTGTCCGTTTTGAACAACACATCCATATAGAGTAAGTTATCCCACTAATTTTCACTAATACTGTATCTTCTAATTAAAGACAAAATATACACATATTCAAAAAATATATTCACACAATTAGTAATGACAAAATTTATACAGTTGAATTTGCTTAAGTCAAATCTAAAATGCCATTGAAATATTGTTCAACTTAGATAAAATTTGACTTACAGATTGTTAATTAATGGAAAACGCAACAATTTGGCATGTAAAATTAGATCGACTTAAAAATTATTCGACTTAGATTGTCATAACAAAATCTCACTATAGGATTGAACACCAATGTTTTTTTTTTTTTGTATTTCCCACTTGTTTCCTCAATAATGGTACTGGTATAGGCATTTATAATGCGCCTCTTCCTTGAGCTAATAAAGCCAGTTTTTATTTTCCCTAGTCATTGGGTCTGCATGCTCAAGTGTTGCTGCTGGTAATCAGCGCAGGAGCAGGCAACCCCACCAGGTACCCAATTATACTCCTAGCTGGAGAGAAGCAATGCAGATTAAGTGCATTGCTCAAGGACCGAAACCAAACCGTTCCCACAATTTGAGAGTACAATATTTTTTTCTCAATATTTTTAACATGGGTAGATTGTTATGTAACAATGTTTAGCTTTAGCAAAACAAGGCACCACTATGAATATTTTTGTTTAAAACATGATGTTTGTGAATTAAATTAAAAACCATTTCTTTTTAAAGAGAAAGCATCATCTATAAAAAAAATGTCCATTTGTAAGTAGGTACTGTAATCTAAATTTGACTTTATTTTTACTAATTGTTTTTCATTTTGTCAGCCTAAAACGCTGGACTTGTGTACTGAGATATACGTTGCTTAAAATAGCAATTAAATGCGCTATAACACTTAAACAATTTAATAACCTACGTACACTGAACCATGGAGATCTTGCTGCCCACATTCTATCTAGTCCAAAACTAGTGGTACCCATTGTGTGCACTGAAAGGAATATATATATTGTTAACATTTGGTATCAGCTGCTCTCCCTGTGGGAGGGCTGAAATCAGCGCACTATCTTTCAAAGAGACGTTTAAGCAGTTGGTTCTCAATTTAAAACAGGAAGGGCCCAACTGAAAATCGTGCCAGTACCAGTGTTCACAATGAATATATCTAATCCTGATGCCATTGTTGTAGGTTCACATTTAAATAACTCAATATAGTATTCTTTAAAAAAAACCTGAAATCTCCGTCTTGAGGGTGGTTTTGACACCAAGTGTATGACAACATTAGATGTACTGTAGATATGTTCGTAGAGAGACTATGTGTCATCAGGTCATGAGAAAAAAGTAATAAGACAGAACGTGCAGGCAATGTTATGACCCAGTGGTGGGTCTGACATGTCGGAGAGCAGGTCCGAACCATGGGGATTACTAGATCAGGGCCCCAGAATAAACATTCTTGGTAAGGTTTATGGCTTAGTATGGCCCAAAATAATGTTTTTGAAAGGCAATTTCCGATGGGGAATCTCACCCGCGCCCCCCCACCCAATTACAGAACTTAATCTAAAGACTACAAAGGAATGATCGAAAGTTAGATTTTTCTATACATCATTAATTCACCAGAATTTTTGATCAATTAATATTTATATGCAACTCTTTGTGTTAATTTATTGCTAGAGGTGCGTTGATTACTGCTCTGTGGTTGGTTGTAAATGTTTGGTACATTTGGTTGTTGGTAGTTCTCGGTGGGCTGGCTTGGCTGTGATAGGTGCTCATACCTTGCTTGTTGCGCATAATAAGGCTGTTGGGCTGGTATCGGTTGCTGGAGTGGCTTGGATTGTGGCCGATACCCAGGTTGGTTGTGCGCATAGGTCTGCAAAGGCTTAGTCGACTGTGTAGCCTGTTGTGCCCTGGGTCTGTAGGGTTGCTGTTCTTGGGGGTGGGGAACCTGTGGCCCATGGGTTGGGCTGGCCTGGACTGCTGTTTGTGCAGCTTTCAGTTTTTGTGTTACCAGTAGAAGATCTTGGAAGTGGCGCTTACTGAGTTCTCTTAGATCTTCTGTCACTGAAGATAAAAGATTAAAAAACATTCAAATTTTATTTTACAGAATCATAAAACAGAAAAAAAAATGTAGATATTCAGAAAAATTCATCATGTTGTGTAAATATAATATATAATACTTTGTAGTAAATTAATTTTTAATTTTGATGTTCAATTATCGAAGCTTTTGCCATGTTGTCAACATGACCAGTGGGGTCATCCTTAAGCCAGGCATGATTCTATGAACGCAACATCACAACGCGCATGCAAGGGATGTTTTTAATGACAATCTATTCAGACTGCTATAAAAAAAATCAGCGGACAGCATTGCGTCGTGTAGCGCTCGCAGGGATTGGAGTTGGATTCGTCATACAACCATCGGTCAACGCAGTGAGTGCCCAGCTTTAGTTTACAACATAACAAAAGATTGTAAGAAATGCTCCCAACGATACGTGTATTATGTCTAACTAATGCAGCCAGAGTTCACTGTAGCATAACAATAATTTAGTACATAAAACATTTACCTAATCCACTGTAACGTTTATCTGCACCATGGTCCAGCACCTTCTGCAATAGGTTCACCATCGATCCCGTCGCAAGAAAGCGTTCCTCAAGGTCTAGCATGTACAAGTAATTTGTATCAACTGCAAACGGATTGCGAGGAGCCGGTAGCGTGTTGATCTTCACAAGCTCAGCAACAATGTCCCAAACATGGATGTCTACAGGAAGAAGATAATGAATATAAAAATAAAAATTTAAAAAACTTTAAAAATAATAGTTGAATAAAAAAAAAAAAAAATTTTCCTGGTGAATTAACGAGCACAATGTACAGTCTATTGGATGGTACCGCACAGCATCTACACTCACTGATTTCATCTCACCTTTATCATTCCAGGCTGTTGTTGACTTCAATCTCAGCGGACTGTCTTTGGAAAAGCGTTCATTGTCTTTTGTCAACTTCACTAATCTATCATGGTTGCTTCGAACCCACACATAAGGACACGAGTACCTGGCATAGCCAGCCAATAAGAACAGTGTAGAGGTATCATCCTGCAAGACAAATTACAAATTAACGTGATGTTAAAGCTGTATTGGCATTAAAGTATAAACAATTGAAGACCAGCATATTAGTGTTTGCCAAACACTGGGGCTTAAAAATCGGGGTCAGTCAGTTGATAATTTTTTCCCTAGTATATATCATCACACATCCAAAATAGTAACAGCAGGGCTAAAATTTATAGTTCCAGATTTATTGAGGCTTGAAAGTAGAAAGCTGATCCTAGATTTTATTTCCTTATTATAAAATCCACAAATTTAGAGTTTAGTGCATTACCAGTAATAAAATTATGGGAGATCTTACCAAAAAATGAGGCACTTAAACCAAAAATTAAGTTTATAATATATTTGAATAAATCATATTTTAATTTGGTTTTCAATGACTTTCATAGGATAAGTAATGTAATTAATGTAACGTAATTCGATTTATATAGCGCTGTATACCGGTGTCTCAAAGCACTTGAGGTGTGGACTAGCTCATACAGTAACTTTCTTCTCCCTTAAGAGTCTCTTCATGTCTGAGCTACCCAGTAAACCGGTACCAGCTTTCTCTTGTGTGTCCACAACAGGGGCTGTATGAACCAGTATAATAGGATAACCCCTTACTCGTCTTGAAAGATGTACTTGGTTCATTAAAGTGCACATGAGCCAAATTTTGTACACTGGGCCTACAGTTTGTAGCCCTTATTCGAGAAAACTTGTTCCATCAACCGGAACCATACGCGAGCGTGCCATTCGAACCAGTGTTGATATTATGGCTGTACCATGCGGCAGCCCTGCCTCAACCGCTTTTCCATTCAACTCGCCAAGTAGATTTTGAGATGAGAGCATTTCAACTTTACGCATGGGAATCAAATTATACGACCGGAATCAGATCTGCATGAAAAAGACTTTAATATTGTAGTAAGAAATCTCACTTAAGATGTGTCTTATTTTGAGGAGTGATCTCATATATACTTACAACCGGAGCAATTTCACGTTCACTGGGTGAAGCTGGTGGAAGTCCAACATCCATATAACCATACCCACTCAACCTTCGAATAAATATATGTTATCATTAAATAATTATAATTTTTCAAACTGCATATACTGTACATTTTTACACCTAAAAAAAAAGTGACAAATAAGATGAGAATGTGGGATTTGAGTTTGTTTTTGGTTGTGAATAAATGACATTTTGGTGAGGAAATTACAAGCACAAATATTACTAAACCGAAGTAAAAATCACTGTGCATGTTTAGATGTTAAAAAGGTGTGTTTGGTGTTTGGTCTTGAAAATAGAAACTGAGGGTGATTGGGACAATATGTTTAGAGGGGAAGTTCCAAAAAGTGGCAACTGAAAATAAAATTGATCTGTAGGATTTGGTGTTAACGCAGGAACAATTAGCAAATTAAAAGGGGGAATATTTAGAAAGGAGATTAAGTAGGTAAGTGGGCTGTTGGAGCCGCAGTGCTTTAAATGTTAGTAGGAGGACTTATTCGTGAGTTAATGGGAAGCCAGTGGATAACAGGAGATGTGTTGGCCCAACTGTTCCATTTCATTTTAGGGGTGTCCTCACTATATACAGAACTGGCAAGAGTTTACAAAACAGAGGTTAGAAAAAAAAACATTGAAGTTTAAGTTGAAACAGGATATGAACCTATGACCCTGGAACTGGAAGGCAAGTACCATGATACACCTCCACTCTTAAGTAAGACAGAAATAATTATTTGCACTCACGTTTTTTGCGTGTTATGTGACAACATTAAAGAATTCCTGAAAATACACAAAAAATAAAGAATAAATTAGACAAGGTTTTTGTCATGGATTTTATTTATTTCTGATGATGACATAATTAATGTCGAAATATTGAATCCCAACACGATGGCGTGTATTTCAATACTTAGAGTATGTTTTATACTTTCTTATCTGAGATTAATCAGTGGATTTATTTAACTTTATGCAAATTTCATTTTAACATGAATATACCCTTAATTTGAGACTTACTGGTCAAATGGCATATCTGATGAGTTGAAGCTTCCACTGTTGCTAATCTCTTTTGTGTTTGTTGGTGACATACTTCTTGGGGTCTATAAAACAAGAAAATAAGTAATCTGTGCGAAATTGGTTAACGTTAGCATCAAGTCTGTAGAAAAAAAAAATGAGTGACCAACCAACACATAGTGAAAATTTTCAATACAACATTTTGTTTTTTGGCCTTAAACTTTTCACTGATAATAACAAAGATATCATTATAATACTATAAGTATAATGGAGTGAAAGTGATGAGTCTTGGGGCGGATGCACAATTTGGTAGTAGGGTGAAATTCAACACCACCTCAGCCAAACTATGGTTGAGGCTAAGGTGAGAAAATTTTGAGGATATGGACCTCAAGGTGTCCGGAAATTGCATTCTCATACTTTTAAAATCTTACCGATACTATATTTTCATTGATAAAAATAATCTATAAACAATACAATACAGCAATTATTTTTCTTAATACAATTTAGGGGGGGGGGGGTGCAATCCCACTGTCTGCATCCACCCCAGCAGTCCAACTTTGGAAATTACTTGTGTAGAGTGCTATATAAATACCAACATATAATTATAATATTAATTACTAATTTGTCTTTTTGCTTACCAATGGCTCATTAAGAACTTTACAAATCATTTCTTCTCTTCCTCTCATGTAGCATGAAAAATATTTGAAACCCTGGAAAGGAAAGAAAATAGATTGTATAATTAATGGATAAATAGATTGGGAGGAGCCACTTGCAGTAGATGTGGTTTAATTTAATAACCGATACAGCTGTGTAGACTGAAGCAATGCAGATAAAGTGCCTTGCTCAAGGACACAAGCGAAATTCACAGCAAAGTATTGAAACCCTGACATCAGGGTTGGTAAACCAAACCATTCCGACTGCGCCAACCCACTTCCACCAGATATCTATTTATATGTATGTATGTTTTTTAATTACTTTTCTTTTAACTTTTGTATTTTATGTAACTGTACCACTTTGAAAAACAGTACACAAGTACTGAAAGTGCATGCAGTAGAAAGACAGAATAAATAAATAAAATAAAATTTAACAAAGCATGATGCATCAACCAAATGTAAGAGTAACATTTTATGGTACTTGCCTTCAAACAACCAAACCTAAGAGCTTCTGCTAAGAACAGTGTCAAACGTTTCTTCACAGCCTTTTCTCTTTCCTGCAAAAACAATTACGTACAAATACATAACCAGAGGTGACGGAACTAGGGGGTGCTGTGTTATGGAGAGTAATGTGTGACCGAAAATGGTCTGCAGTCAGTTGGTTGTTACCATGCGCCAGTGATGTTGGAGTATATAGTACAGCAATATGAAACTATTATGTAGGCCTAATGAATGAATAAAGTTGAGAGTTTGTCAGGTAGTGAAATGATTATTTCACATTTTAAGAGCTCCCTAAATTCATAAGTGTAAGCTAAATTACGGTGATTAATTTAATTAGCGAAGATATGGAGACAATTATTTCGAATCACTCTTTCCAAGAGGGGATGCAAATGCTTTGTGAAAATGAGTACATCGCGGTACTCATTTTCACAAAGAAATACACACAACTGGTTAGCTAACAATTATGTCAATGTTACATGAACACCTGGGAAGGAAGGTGCAATCACGTTGTTACCTAGCAAACGTCTGTACTGTATGGGGGAGGGGCTCCTGATGTACTGTGTAGCGGGGGACGATGAGGCATAAGACTAGGCCTAGGCCTAAGACAGTGGAATTATATGTGATAGAAAGTACAGATAGAAAGTACAGTGGAATTATATGTGATAGAAAGTACACTTTCGGAAGAAAAGGTGACGTACCTAGCTTATGACGTATGCATGCTAACTAATGTGAGTGTGACGTCACCAAAAAATGAATATTTTTTATTATAACCAAAATATTAATAACTACAAAGTTTCTGGGCGTAAATAGCCTTAATATGAATGAAGGGTTGCTCAATCTCCTTGCCATTCAAATTACAGCTCCTACTGATGTCTCGGTCGAGAAATACGGGTAACTGAAGTTTTTCTCGCAAATCTGACTACAAAACCATATCCAAATTTCACGTTCCACTTTTGACCCTGAGTTGTGCGTCGCACTTGTCGCTGAGGGCGGCGTTCTGGGAACCCTGCGTCTAGGCCTATTTACTTAGTAATTGCGATTAAAATTATGACTAGCTAGTTCTAGGAGGCCTACCATAGGCCCTATGTTATATTACAATCAGTGGCTTAGCCTAGACACCACCTAGGCCTACCAAGGGCCTACGCTTTCTAGTCAAAACAGCAATAAACTAAAACAGCAATACGTCAAAACGGCAATGACCAAAATGGAAAAAACCAAAAAGCTAACACTTTTTTACCAGAATGGCAATGGACCAAAACGGCAATAGGTCCTAAGTCAAAACGGCAATAAACCAAAAGGGCTACACTTCCAGAATGGCATACCGCAATGGTAATTGGCAAAAAGAACACGATTAAACATTGAAAGCGGGAAAAAGACCACATGGCAATATTTGATTTGCCTACAGGTGATCGGACCAACTTCAAGACGATTCGGAAAATTATAAACTGCGGCCTGTGCCCAGCGGCGCTTGCTCTTGGCATTTGCTATTTTCTCCTTTGCCATTTTGTTCTATGCCTATGCTATGGCCGTTTTGGTACTTATCATTGCCGTTTTAGTCATTGCAGTTTTGACCTGCTACCAGGCCTACTACTAGTACTGGTTTAGGTAGGCCTACATGCATTGCAATCATATTAAATATTATTACCGTATATATTATTATCATAATCAGGTCTAGCTAGTTGATAGGCTAGGGCCTAGCTTAGTAGGCCTATGCCTATACAGGAAGCTGTTTGTGCAAGGTAAGAATCACTAAGGTAAGAAAGGCCTAGGCTAGGCCTAGCATAGGCTAGCTAGTAGCTAGGCGCCTAGTTAATTAAGGCTTGGCCTAGCCTAGGGCTAGGACCTAGGCTAAACTCTAATAAGCCCAGTCTCCAGCCTACCTAAAGAAAGGCCGAATTAGATTGCGACCACGTACGTTTTATTCATAAATTTACACGTATAAATGTTTTGAAAACAATATAAAATGTTTATTGAAAAATGTAAATCTAAAAAGTACGTAAAAGTGTGTAGGCTTAAGTATCCTAGGCTAGGCTACTCTCTTACCTTTGCGGCCGCCATGCTTTGTAGTTACAGTATCTCTCTTCTTGCAAATTAGAACTATGGAGCGCTGAACGTGCAAATATCCGAGGCGTGTACAGTGTCATAAAATTAATATAAACATGAGCAGGTTCATGAATGAAAAACACTAAAACGGTGGCGCAGATTTCAACAGCTCTCTCTAATAGACATACATTTAAAACAATTAACCTCCCATGTACACACATCAAAGTCGATTTTATAGAAGGACAGTTTCAACTTTGATTATGATTTTAAATCATAAAACTGAAAATTCCGTTGGTCAGTAATTTTATTGAGGCACGTCAGAAAATTGAATTGAAAATGTTACACTGCAGGCCTATATGGAAAATAGGAGTTTTTCTGGAAATAAACCCTCATATGATATATTGGCTATTGCGGCTAGGGCACCGTTAGAGTATGATAAATCTTTTGAGTTGTGTGTGGTGAAAAACGACACAAACAGCAGCCAGCGGAGGTAAGGGCAGTGCAAAGCACAGGGGCCCGGAAATTTCAGAATGTATGAGCATTAAGAGTTTCGCCATAGTAGACCCCACCAAGGCTCTGTCCCTGGGTCCGATTAGGTGCCTTTTAGGGCCCGGTAATTATCTTTCACTGGGGCCCGTCACCACCTCGGGCCTCAAGTGTCGTGCATAAAATCAAGTTGCCCCCACACCTCACTTGCGTGTTGTTAAAAAGCTTCTTATTTTGCGAGTTAGTGCCCCTCAACCTGTCTCTTATACACATCTAGATGTGTATAAGAGACAGATGTATGTACTGTATATATAGGCCTATATATGTATACATATATGTATGTACTGTAGATATAGGCATATATATATAACATATAGGCCTACTATGTATATACCTGTCTCTTATACACATCTTCATCACTCTCAGATGTTAAGACGAAATAAATGATATGTGGCGGTCCAGGGAGGGTCCATACCTCCTCAACCCCAGCATGGTTGTGGCTGAGGTAAGAACTTTTATGATCATATTTATTTTTATTTAGGCCCTATATGTACTAGTATTTTTGATAGACCTATTCGTATGATTATGATTATTCTTTGTTGTCCTTTTTTATGTTTCTGTGTTGTCTTGATATTTCATATTTTTTACCTTTAAATCTGTAGTGTAGGCTACTAAAGACAATTTTCTGATATATTTTTATATTAATGTATATTGGACCAAATAAATGCTGCGGTAGCATGGAGATGCCCTGAAATGGCACTTACAAACTTCGAATTTGAATATAATTTTCTTTTTATCTCCATTTTTTATTTTTATAAATTTAGAGGGTCCACGCCGACAGGAAATTTTAATGAATACCGCACCGTGTTTGCAGATTTCTAATTGGATAGCAGTAATTTATTTAATAGGAATAGAGTATATATTGCATTGTATATGTCTGTGAATAGTTGTACGTCGCCATCCTATCATCAGTCTGATAGCCTACCTGTAGAAGTACAGTAGAATGATAAATACAAGTACAGTTACTGAAGAGGTAGGCCTATGTTACCACAGGTGGTTTGTGATCATCATGGTACTGGTGACAATGAGTATTTTTGTGGGCAATATCATGGTCTTGCATGCAATACTGGAAAATAACGTCTTGTGGACGCCCACATACAAAATTGTTGCCAGCTTATCGGCGGTGGATATTACATCTGGTTTAAATGGTATATTGATGATGGCAATAATGCCCACTACTCCTCTCTGGACGGTAACGGATGGAGCATTAAGTATCTGCGAATCCACACTATGCGTTTTTGCATTAATTTCAATTTCTTCTTCTTGGGGCCTGACCGTGTGTCACCACGTGTTGCTAGCATCCGAAAGATACTTCGCTATTTTTTATCCATTACTGCACCATAAGTATATAACAGATAAATTCCTCTTGTGTAATATTACTTTCGTGTGGGTTTTCGTATTATCCATGCAACTAATACTTATGAATTTCTTTAACGAAGACTGGGAAATTTACACAGAATTTGGTTTAATGGGATCCAACATACTTATTGTCTTCTACATGCACATTCGAATCTTCAAGGAAACAAAAAAGACGGCACGGCAGATAGCTGCTATAGCTTTACAGCCCCCCATAAGGATTCCTGTCAACATCAAAGCTGTTAAAACCACGTCATTAACTTTGTGTGGATTTGTTTTGTGCAGTATACCTTTAATTCTTTCTAGAGCTATGGACTACATCCAATCTGCAAATTGTAGTTATGTGCTTGCAAGTTTTATGTTGTATTACTGTAGTTCTGCAATAAATCCAATTATTTATGGCGTATATAACCAGACATTTCGAATAGCATATCGAAAAACAATAACAAAGTTTACAAAATTACTCGAAGATTGAATTGGAGAAAAAGCATTTAAAAAAAAAAATTGTATAAGTTTGTAAAAATACTACGTTTTATGGTAGCGTTATACGATGTTATTTTACTATTTATGAATTTAACCATTGATATAATATATGTTTGTTTATAATATATATATATATATATATATATATATATATATATATGCGTGTATGCATATGTATATACATTTGTTATCGATAACCTAAGTC